AAGCAATTGCCCCATTTTCTCCCCTCGTTGTTATGGAGCAACAAAATAATAAACTAATTGGTAGAACACATAAAAGAACCACAGAAACCGATAAAAAGTATTTAAAAATTCGTAACAGTAACACATTGTTGCAGGATTCTGCTACTGGTGGCCCCTCTGTCCCACTGCCTGCACCATAAATGCCTTAAGACCAATGGATACTATGACGAAATTATTGGACAACAAAAAGAAATATTACATAATCATAAGATTTTAACCCAATTTAACATTTCTTTTATAGAAAACAGCGTTTTTAACATTCCTGTTGCAAATACAATTTCACATTTTCTTAATGCCCTTCACGACCTCGCTCTTCAAAATCTAAAAAGTTCACTTAATAAATTGTTACGCAATCGACCAAAACGAGGTTTAATCAATGCTCTTGGTTCAACCGTTAAATTTATCACTGGCAATTTAGATCAATCGGATCTTGATTTAATCAACAGAAAATTTGAAAATTTGACAGATGCTCACAATGCCCTTAATCATAACGTAAATAAACCAATAATTTTTTGTAAAGAAACAAACGACCGCTATATTAAAATAATAACAACATTTAATAAAATTTATAAAGACATTTCCCATGAATATCGACATGATTTTGACGAACTTTCAAGAACACAACTTTTAATACAAAATTATAATAATTTACAAAATTTTGTCGAAATGCTTTTCAGAACAATTTCATTCTCACGGTTAGGATATTCTAATGTAGAAATGTTTGAAATTTGCGAAATCAATTATATAGAATCATCTTTATTATCAATTTATTCGAAAGACCAATTACCTATCTCTGAGATTCATCCTTATGAATTAATAGAACGATCAAAAACAGTTGTTATTATTTATGATCAATTAATTTCAATAATTTTAAAAGATCCGATCTTATCCAAAGAAACATTTTCATTATACAAAATCCTATCCTTTCCTTGTACTGACGACGTTATGATTATTCCACTTTCAAATTACTATTCTAATGGAAAATGGTTTAAAAATTGTCATGAAGGAACAAACGGTTTTATTTGCACCGGGGAAATATTTTCGAAATGTTCCCTTATAAAACCAGAAAATTGTCTAGCTGCATCCGTCCATCACCCGATCAGATATCAACTTCATTCAAACGAAATGTTGGTGTACAAATCAACTTCCATCCAAGAAATATGTACAGGACACACCATTGTTCCCGAATGAAGATCCATAGTCGTGTCAAGCCCCTGTGACGTAACCATCGATGAAGAAAGATACTCCATCAACAGCACCACTTATTCGACCCATCACCCTAATTGCCACCCGAACAGCCGAACTAAACGAAATTCATATCCCTCCAGAACTTGATTTGAAGCCATTAGAGGACATCCACTTGCAAAAGGAAATCCATTACACATTTTGGGTTATAACAATAATTATTGCAATACTAACTATAATTGTTGGAGTAGTATTAATCTGGAAAAAGAAACGCCTTATTCATCTTCTGTTTCTCCAGAGACCTACCCTTAAGGATTTGGAATCAGCTCTTCGAGCTAAGGAGGGAGGAGTTACGTCTGCTGACTAGGCAACCAAGCTTACATCGCACGGAACTACAGGGTGGGTCATGTATATAGGGAGAAAAAAAATAATTCAATATTTTATCGGGCACAGTCAAAAATTGGTGTCAAATGACGACCTTAAATAGCATATAAAATTTTATTATAATTGAAATTCATCTTCTGCCTCCGGATCCTTCTTAAAATTACCAAAAAAGTCGCTATTTAATTAATAAACTTATCATATAAGAAATCACTTTAAATAACTGTATAATTTGTAGTATGTACATAAATAAAAATAATAAGATCGTTTCTTGCCATTTATTAAAAATAAATTATAAATATTGTTAGTTACTTAAGTTGGTATGGTAGGCTAAAAAGTCCTTTTTGCTGTCGAATTCCGGCATTGTTTTTCGTGACTCTATTTGATGTGGCGTGGTTGTGAATAAATTTTCTTAGGGTGGTAATTTTTAGGTCATCTCTTATGATTTGGTTTCTAACGAACCACGGGGCGCCAGTGGTGTGTCGTAGGAATTTACTTTGTAGGACTTCCAGCTTCTTCAGATGGACCTCCGCAGCAGTGCACCAGTAGTTTGGTTGGACCATGGAATTATGGTGTTCTCGTATTCAAGGGCTACAGGGGTGGCGCCGCCACCCTTTGATAGGTGGATGGCTTGCGTTTTTCTTGGATTTACTCTAATTCTCCACTTGTCTGCCCAGTGTTCAAAATTATCTAGGGCTATTTGTAGTCGGTGTTTGATAACCCGGTTGTTTCGGGCACGAATAAATAGGGCAGTGTCGTCGGCGTAAAGGGCAAGGTGCACCTCAGGGGTTCTTGGGATGTCGGTCATGAAGATGTTGAAAATTGTGGGGCCTAGCACGGAGCCCTGGGGTACACCTGATGTGATTTGATGGGAAGAGGATACAGCTTGGCCGCATTTTACTTTAAACGACCTGCCGGAGAGATATGAGGCGATAAGTTTAGTCATTGAAGTGGAGAAGTTAAGAGTAATCATTTTTTCTAGTATTCCATGGTGCCAAACCTTATCGAAGGCCTTGGATATGTCCATCAGTACGAGACCCGTTTTCTCCTTTGAATCGAAGCCTTGAGTAACGAATTCAGTAAGCCGGAGAATTTGAAGCTCAGTTGAAAGGCCCCTTCGGAAGCCGAACTGTTCTTCGGGGAGGAGCTGTTGGTCTGTGATTTGGTCTTCGAGTCTTTCTTTAATCGCTCTTTCGCAGACTTTCGCAAGCGAAGATAGAAGTGAGATGGGGCGATAATTTTGGGGAAATAATGGGTCCTGCCCTGGTTTAGGAATCATTACAACCTCAGCCTTTTTCCTGATTTTTGGGAAATACTGTGTGGAGAAGATGGAGTTTATGAGGATTAATAGGCTTTTAATGGTTGTTTGGGGGAGCTTTTTGAGGGCGGTGTTAGTAACTCGGTCGTGACCAGGGGCAGTTTTATTTTTAAGAGAGTTTATTATTTGGCTAATTTCCTCAGGGGATACAGGAGGAATATCAGAGATTGAGACTGAAGTAAGGGTAGTTCGGACATTACGAGCAATTTCTATGTCTTCTTCATCATAGTCAGCATAGGCTTCATTCGGTGAAAACTGAGATTCGAGTTGGTTAGCAAATATTGTGGCTTTATCCTCCGGGAAATAGGCTATGCCGTTTGGGCCGTGAAGGGGATGAATGGCTTTTTTGGTGGGGTTGCCTCGTTGTTTCATGGCTTTGATGAGGCGCCAGGTGTTTACGCTGCCTGTTTCCATTTTGCTTAGATTTTCCGACCAGCGCTCGTTATAGAAGTCGTTGAGAGCTGAGCGTGCATGTGCTGTGAGGGCGTTGAGATTTCGCCTATCGGCAGGATCTTGTGTGCGAGCAGCTTGTTTTTTGGCTCGGCGTTTGGCTTTAATTAGGTTTTTAATTCTAGTGGGGAGTTGAAAAGGGGTCCGGATTGGAACTTGAGAAATGGTGGTGGAATTTTGCAATGCAGAAGTGACTTTATTTGTTAGGGAGGTGGCGAGTACCTCGACTTCTTCCTTGGTCGATGGGGTTCTGGAGGGCGCGGGAAATTGCTCTAGAATGTTTTTAAAGAGAATCCAGTTTGTGCTTGAGCGATTGTAGGTGGCTGTATTGTTTGTTAATTGGTCGCCAATAGTGATGAGTACTGGATTATGATCAGAGGATGTAGCATAGAGCGTGGAGAGCTGAATGTTATGTGTGATATCTCTCGTGATAGCAATGTCCAGTACATCTGGCCTTGCGTTTGCCTTGCAGAAAGTAGGCTCTTCAGGGCCGTAAATTTCCCAATGTTTATTAAAAGCCAGTGCAGACAGCTTGTTGCCATTTGGATTGCTTGTGCGTGAGTGCCATGCCGGTTTTTTAGCATTGAGATCTCCTGCGAGAATGATTGGGAAGGACTTAGAAAATGCCAGGGTGTAGTCAGCTTCAATGAAAGGGCGTTGGGGGGGGGGTAGTATGCCGCAATAAGTTGTATTCTACCTTCAAAGCTTGTTTCGATGAAGATAGAAGTGGTTTCTAGAGTTTGTAGATCATTGGTAGGGACAAAGCAGTGGTTTATCTGGCTTTTGACAAAAATGGCAGTGCCTCCACCTTGGCCGCCACGTGGACGGGGGGTGAGATACGCTGTGAAGCCAGGGAGGTTAAAGGTAAGGTTTTCTTGAATTTTTGTTTCGCAGATGAAAATAGCGTCGGGATTTTCTTCGGATATAAGGGTGAGTAGTTCGTGTTTTTTGTTGGCTAGACTGTTGGCATTCCAGGATAATATCTTAAGAGAGCTTGGATTGTAATTAGTGGGCATTATGGGGATTGGGTTGAATGCTTAGAAGAGATTTTTCTAAATTATCGGTTTTTGAAACCAGCATGGTAAGAGTGTTAATAATTGGCTCTAGAAGTTTGGAAAAATCAAGGTTAGAGGGTGGCTGGGAAGGAAGCTGTTGGACTTGGGGGGCTAATACATTACTATAGGTTAAGCCAGGAGTGGTTTGCCTGGGAGCTGCTCCGGGAATTGGTTTCTTGTGGTTGGGATTTTTTGGGCTGTGTGGCCACCACCACAGTTTGCGCAGATCGGGTGGGTGGTGGTCAGTGTTGTGCATTCCCTGGAGAAGTGTGGCCCAGCACACTTCAAACACTTTGGAATGGCTGTGCACTTAGTTTGCACGTGGCCGAACTTTTGGCACCTGAAACATTGCCCGATGTTGGAGTTACGGCGCAGTGCTTCCACTTTGATTCTGATGTTGCACAGGGAGTCCAGGTTAAAGATGTCTTTGCATGTGAGTGGGAGCTTAACTAGAATGAGAGGCATTTCCTCTCGGTCTTTGCCTCTTTTCATTCTACTTATGACTGTGGCCGGGAATTTAGATTTAATCTCTGGGGCTATGTCTGCAATGGGGATTTCCATTGGGACACCTCTTATAACGACCTGAAGCAGGCGTTCCTCGGGAAGTAGGTATGAGTGAAATTGCTCTTGGTTGGTTGTAAGGAAGGCAGTGATTTTGCGGTAGCTGTCGATGGTAGAGGGGTAAAATCTGATACCTTGTGGAAATGCCAACCGCGAAGAGAGAATTCGTTGGAGATGTTTGGCCAACGTTTTTTAATTCTCAGAATGATAGGTGGGATCTTGGGGCTGGTGTCATCGTTAGAGGTGGCCGCAGCTGGGGCGGCTTGATTACTGTGCGAGGAGCTGGCTACAGATTGCAAAATTGGGGTGGGAGGTCTGTAAGTAGACCCGGCTATTTGTTGGGTTGGAAATATAAGAGGCGAAACAGGGTTGTTGGGTCTAGTAGGGGTAGGGGGTCTGTAGTTTGACCCTGTCGTGTTGAGTTGAGAAGAATCTTTTAATGATTTGCAGGTTGGAAAATAACAGTATAAATATGAAAAAGTATAAAAGAGTTGATTTAAAATAGAACATAAAAGATTAGGTAAAAATGACATGCATGATAAAAGTAATAAATAGACAAAAATGAACAAAAATAAACAAAAATGGACTAACCTCGCGTGAACAAAAATTTCAGATGAAGACAAAAATGACCCATGTATATCACAAAAATTCACAAAAATAAGCACAAATAAATAAATATTATATTTTATAATAAAGCGGGGACCGACGCCTACTCAATTCAGCGTCGGTATAACCTCTCTACACAAAAATCGCAATATCAATATGTGAACGTGAACGAATGGACAAAACACAATAGAGCGAGCAACCACGAGCGACAACTCATTGGCCAGAAACATTCCAGACTACAACCCGGAAAATAGACGTCTACATCGGGTGACGTGGTCTACCAGTTGCCCCTTCAAGATCTCCTGGATCAAAGGTTCGTCTTGGACCACGCAGACTTCTGGAGTTGGAATCAGTTCATCATATTGAACCGCTGGACCTTCGGGACACTCAGCTGCATTTCGTGACAAGTAGTCTGGCAACTGGTTTGTCTTTCCTGCCACATGTTCAATTTGCCTGAGTTGATGAACTTCGATCTTCTCCAATACTCGTTTCAGGTGCTCTACGTGGTCTTCGTACGTTTCAGAGTACACGATGATGTCATCCAAGTAGACTTTTACATACCTATTCAACATTCCGGCGAAGATTTCCGTCATGGCTCGTTGGAACGTTGCTGGAGCGAGCTTTAGCCCGAATGGCATGGCCAGGAATTGGTACTGCCCTCCAGAAGGTGTAAAAAATGCAGTATACTTTTTGGACGCCGACTCCATGGGTAGCTGCCAGTAGCCGCATGTTAGGTCCAAGCTGGTAAACACCTTGGCCTGTTCCAGGTCCCGGACTGTTTCTGCTATCGGTGGCAGCACGCTGACGACGTCCGACGTCCTCTTGTTTAACTCCCTATAGTCCACGCAGAAACGCCATCCGGATGATTTTTTCACCAGGACCACCGGTGACGCGTAGGGCGAATTGGAGGGTTCGATGATGCCCCCCTGGAGCATCTGTTCCACCTGTTGGATGGCTTCGCTGTCCAGTCCCGGATCCTTTTCTGGCCTCCAGAACACCGCCATCCGTTCCCGCTTCCCGAGGTATACACAACCTCGGGCGACGTCCACCAGCGCCTGTTGCGCCTCCAGGAAATCCATACCCAGGATCATCGGATATGGAAGTCTGCCTACCACGTGCATGGTATGCACGTAGGACTGCCCTCTGATGCGGAAATGTACTCTGGTGTGGCCCAATACTTGTAGTTGAGCGTCGCCAATCGTCCGTATCTTCCTCACTTCGGGTACGTAGTCCTCAGCCAACGCTAGATCGACCAGCGTCAGGCTCGCGCCAGTATCCACTAACGCCTTCGACGGCTGCCCATGAATCTGTACTTGGATCACGGGTGGCCCCATGCCCTTACCATGTTTATTTCGGAGGGGTAGCTTTGTCGGTACCCCTCCTCTGGGAGTTTTCCGACGACTGGACTGGTTCCTTGAACTTGATCAGCGTCGCGCGATTAAAATCGCACGCACGTAGGTCGGCTTCCAAAGCGCGGGCACATCTCATTAACTCTTGAGTCTTAAGGCATATCGAACTCTGGGCAAAAGTAGCTCGAAGACTTCGTCGACGAGGTGGTTCTCCGGAATAGATGGCAGCAACCACCTGGACATGGACCGCTTCCTTTGGATGAAGCGAACGACGTCTTCTTCCTCGGACTGACTCTCCCCATAAAATTTCGAAATTAGCTTGGTTATTCTGCCTTTTGCCATGAACGTTTCTTTGAATTCGACGATGAACCGGGCCCAACTGATCTCCTGGGTCTTGTACCAGGCAAAGGTCTGCTCTTCCTTGCCCTTGATCTGGCCCAAGGCATGGAACGCCCATTCGTCGGCGGGGATGTGCCTCTTCTTGAGTGCTTCCTTCATCTTCCTCAGGAAGAAGTTGGGATCCTCGAAATCTTCCCCGCTGAAGGTTGGAAAAACGCTCCTTTGAACTGGAACGTCCTTTAGTGCCCTCGCCATCTCGTAGACCATTTCTCCGAGATCCGGGAATAGGGGTTGGGACGTGGTGGACACCTGGTGGCTTCCATCATGCATAGTCCCTGCTTGGGCGCCATGTTGTAGTCGACGGCTTGGGTCCGGCAAAATCGTAGTCTTTGCCGGCACTGGGCCGGATACACTTCCGGGTTGGTTCCCGATAGCAATGGTACTGACTGAAGATGGCGGGGACGGCAGGCCCTCAGGGTTGTGGTCGACGATGGGGTTTACTTCATCCTCGAAGCTGTCCTCAGCTTCATGGAAGTGTTCCATTTCGCCTTCGAGTTGGGGTTGCTGCGTAGTTGGGTCTGCGTTCAGCTGGTCGGCCATCCTTGCTTGTGAACGGGTTAGAACCATACGTAGCGTAGCTTCGATAGCCTAGGAACGGCCCTACTGGGGCCAGGGATCGGCCCTGCTGATTTGCCTGGGAGCGGCCCTGCGGGTAGGCCTGGGAGCGGCCCGGCTGGGACCAGGGATCGGCCCCGGAGTCGGCCTGGGAACGGCCCTGCTGGCTGGCCTGGAAGCGGCCCTAATGGGGGCCAGGGAACGGCCCCGCTGGATACTGCGACGTCCGTAGAAGCTGACCAAACGGCCACTGCCGAAGACAGGTGACCTGGGGCTCTGGACGTCTCCTTCACGATGTTAGTTCTAAGAAGAACTAATTTTGCCTACACTCAGGACTTGGACAGCTAGTCGCTGGTGGATATCACCGGGTCTTCGCCTTGCCGTGTTCTAAAAAGAACAGCTTTTGCCTGTTCACAGGGCTTGGACAGGAACAGTCGGTGGATGAATAAAACAGTAGATAATGTGGTAAGTCGACGGTTTGTCCATGTTGCCAGGGAGACTGGTGACTTTCTTCTTGAGAGGCTCAAGATAGACTGACTTGAAAAGCCACCTGTCTTTTCTTATATAGACGAACGGACCTCTGTCGTACTCGGATTCGCTACGATCTGTAGCCAATCAGGTGCAAGCAGCGACTGAGGCCCGTTTCGACAATCCTGTTGTACACGGGTGACTCGGTGCTCGGAAATCTCGGTGGATGCCTGCGCCGGCACCTGGACACTTCCGGGTTGTTGCCCAGCGAGGATGGTTGTCGTGGAGGATGGCGGTGAGGCGTCGTTGACCTGGTGGACCTGGGCAGCGTCGTCGGTGCCCTCCAGGAAGCTGTCTTCCGCTGGTAGGTACTCGGGTTCATCGTCGTCGATGGTGGGAGCCCCGGCAGGCACCTGGTGCACGTCCATCCTGGTCTGGGATCGGGTACGTACCATACGTGCCCCCTTGGATGGCCTAGGATCGACCCTAGAGGTAGGCCGGGATCGGCCCTGTGAATGGCCTGGGATCGGCCCCACGTATGGACCGGGAGCGGCCCTACTGTTGGACCTGGAGCGGCCCTGCGATCGGACCTGGATCGGCCCCGCTAGTGGACCTGGATCGGCCCCACTGACGGACCTGGAGCGGCCCTGCTGGTGGACCTGGATCGGCCCGGTGGTTGGACCTGGATCGGCCCAGCTGTTGGACCTGGCGCGGCCCCGCTGGTGGAACTGGTCGGCGATGTTGACCACCTGTGCAACCCGGTGGTTGGGACGTCGCTCGACCTCGCTGGCGACGCTGGAATCCAATGGCTGGGTCCTGGTGCTGTCGTCCACGGTGTAGAAGTTTTTTCCTTTTTTATGCAAGGTAAAAACTACGCAAAGTCTTTCTTTTCTTTTTGTTGTTCTTAAAAGAACAATTTGTTTCCTCGTTCTCGAAGCAGCAACGGGGAAAATTTAGCCCTCAGGAATGGTAAATGAAATGCAAGTTCTAGGTAGAAGCGGCGACTTGTCTTCGTAGGCAACCAGGGAGCTGTTGTCTTCACGAGTGGTAGACTCGTACTGATTTTGAGAGGTCTGATCCTCTCTTTTATAGAGAATCGACTGACTGTCGAATTCAACAATCCTGTTGTACACGGGTGACTCGGTGCTCTGGAATCGCTTCGGATGCCTGCACCGGCACCTCCGGGATGTTGCCCAACGAGGATGGTACTGGTGGTTGAGGGTGGCGAGGCATCATCGACCTGGTGGACCTGGTCGACTTCGCCGGTGCCCTCCAGGAAGCTGTCTTCAGCTGGGAGGTACTCTGGTTCGTCGTCATCTACGACTGGGTCCCCGGCAGGCACCTGGTGCACATCCATCCTGGTCTGCGATCGGGTACGGACCATACGTGCCCCTTCAAAAGGCCTAGGATCGTCCCTAGGAATGACCTGGAATCGGGCGATCACCACTTCGGGGACCCCGTAACGCAAGAAGACTGCGTCAAGGACCTCGGTGATCGTCTGATGACGGGTATCTTTGACTGGAACTGCTTCGGTCCACTTCGTGAGTACGTCTTCCAGGATGACGGCGTACTCTGGCTCGGTTCCATCGCCGCGGTAGCGGCCCAGTGTGTCGATGGAGATGTACTGCCAGGCTCGGGTCGGCGTGTGTGTCGACATCGGCGCCGCTGGTTGTACATTTCGTCCTTTGATTTGTTTGTAGACTAGGCACTTCTGCACAAACCTCCTGATTTCTGACTGCATTCCATACCAGTAGAAACGAGCATTGATTGCCCGCTGGGTCTCCCTCTGGCCCTGGTGTGCGCTGTCGTCTCCAGCATGGTAATGTTCCAGGACCTGGGGACGCATGCCTTCGGGCACGTACGCCCGACACGTCCCGTCCTGGCGTTGCTGGAACAGGTTCCCTTCCACGGACACGATGAAGTTTGCCAGGAGACTCTCGTCGATCTCATCTTGGGGCCCATCCTCTTCGGCTTTCCGTGTTCTTCGGACGAGGCGCTGTGTCATGGGGTCCACTAGCTGACCAGCGAGGATCCGCTTCACTAATGGCTCGACCTC